TACTTTATGTCCCTGGAATATAAAGTAAAGATGACAGAAAATCTTATAAAACTGCAAAATATTGTGGTGTTGTGTGTGTGTGTTTATTTAAAAACAAAACAAAAACTCCCATATAAAGTTCAGTCCTTATACCATATATCAATATCCTGGCTCCAGTCTGCTTTGGGATTCAATGATGAGTACGCCAGCATAGTGTATGTTGGGGCATCAATCACAGAGAGTGGAGTCAGCATTTCCTGGCTGCTCTGGATGTCAGAAACCTTGTTTTAAAAGGTAAGTTTTCAGTTGAGAATGTGTTGAATATCTCTTTGTGTTTATATGGAAACATTCAGCATATTTCTAAAAAGTATTTTTATTATGTTTGCATTTTTAAAATTTACTTGTAACTTGACACAGCTCAAAGTCACATTTTATACTTGTCCTCTGTCTAGGCCTTCTTTTCTCTTGTTTTCCTGTTGTTAATATCCTATATTGTGTTTCCAAAAAAAAGTAATGTTTTGGTTGTCTACTACCTGGAACAAGGTGGTAACTAAATTCTGTTTAATATCATTCTGAATTATCTGGGCAAGGGCACCCTTAGCCATTTCAGAGACAACACCAAGCTGGGCAGGAGTGTTGATCTGCTGGAGGGTAGGAAGGCTCTCTGGAGGGATCTGGACAGACTGGATCAATGGGCCAAGGCCAATGCTGTGTGGTTCAACAAGGCCAAGTGCCCTGTCCTGCACTTGGGTCACAGAAACCCCAGACAGCGCTACAAGCTGGGGGAGGAGTAGTTGAAAGTGTCCCAGTAAAAAAAGGACCTGGAGGTGCTGGTCAACCATGGCTGAACATGAGCCAGTGGTGTATCCAGAGGGCTGAGGCGGCCGATGGCATCCAGGCCCGAGTCAGAAATAGCGTCTCCAGCAGGACCAGGGAAGTGATTGTCCCCCTGTACTTGGCACTGGTAGAAATCAAAGCACCTGGAATCCTGTGTTCAGTTCTGGGCCCCTCAGTACAGGAAAGACATTGAGGTGCTCCAGCATGTCCAGAGAAGGGCAATGAAGCTGGTGAAGGATCTGGAACATGAGACCTGTGAAAGGCAGCTAGGGAGCTGGGGCTGTTTAGCCTGAAGAAGAGGAGACTCATGGGAGACCTTACTGCTCTCTACAACTACATGAGAGAAGGTTGTGGCCAGGTGGTAGTCAGCCTCTTCTCCCAGGTAACAAGTGCTGTATGTTTCTGATGAAAATATACCGTCAGAGGTCCAGCCTGAACCTCCTAGGCTTCAGTTTATAACTAATCTCCTACGTTTTATCATTTGGTATTTCTGAGAATTTGCCACACAAACATTTGTAAAAGCAAGTCTATTATCTATAGAAATTAGTAGGCAGCTATGTAAGTAGGGAGTTAAGTCTTAGCTTTATCAATTCTCAATTTGCCTTTTTTTTTCTTTTCCTCCTGGAAAAAAACACAAGACTGTGTTGGAGAATTAAATTGCATAGGAAAAGAAATGCTAAGTTTTGTAGTGATGCGTCTTAAGGTTATAGGTATATTTTTCATATCTCTTTTTAAGGAATTATAGCATCTGACCTTTGCAGAGATCTTACATATTTGCATGGAAAATCAACTGAACCACAATTTAGAAGAATGTCATTTGACCTATATTTATTCTGTCCTTACTATTTCTGAGGAGAGAAGGTTCTTCTCATGGCTTAAATTTGTCTGTGTTTCCATTAACAGGTTTATTGTCAACTCCAAAACCCAAGTAGGAAAGATGAATAATTGGGATAAAGGGAAATAATTTACATTTTTAAAAATTGTGTTGCTATAAAATTTACATTAAAATGTAGAGTTTTCCGGAAACTATATCCAGTGGATACTATATTTCACAGATTCACAGAATGGGTCAGGTTGGAAGGGACCACAGTGGGTCATCTGGTCCAACCTCTCTGCTCAAGCGGAGTCACCCCAGAGCACACAGCACATGATTGTGTCCAGACGGTTCTTGAATATCTCCAGTGAGGGAGTCTCCACCTTTCTGGGCAATCTGTTCCAGTACTCAGTCACCCACACAGTAAAGAAATTCTTCCTCGTGTTCAGGCAGAACTTCCTGTGCATCGGTTTCTGCCCATTGCCTGTTGTCCTGTTGCTTGGCACCACCAAGAAGGCCTGGCTTCATCCTCTTGGCACCCTCCCTTATAAGCCTTGGACATCCCCTCTCAGTCATCTCTTCTCAAGGCTGAACAGGCCCACCTCCCTCAGCTTTCCTCATAAGAGATGCTCCAGTCCCCTCATCTTTGTCACCCTCCACAGAACTTGCTACAGGAGCTCCATGTCTGTTGTACTGAGGAGCCCAGAGGACACAGCACTTCAGATGTGGCCTCCCTAGAGCTGAGTGGAAGGGCAGGATCACCTCTCTCAACCTGCTGTCAGTGCTCTTCCTAATGCACTCCAGGACACCATTGGCCTTTCAGGCCACAAGGACACACTGCTGGCTCATGGACAGCTTGTTTTTCACCAGAACCCCAGGTCCTTCTCTGCAGAGCTGCTCTCCAGCAGGTCAGCCCCCAGCCTGTACTGGTGCCTGAGATTATTCCTCCCCAGGTGCAGGGACCCTGCATTTGCTTTTGTTGAATTTCAGACAGTTCTTCTCTGCCCGTCTTTCCAACCTGTCAAGATCTTTCTGAAGGTCTGCACAGCCCCCTGGAGTATTGGTCACTCCTCCCAAATTTGTGTCCTCAGCAAATTGGCTGAGGAGGCCTCTATCCTGTCATCCAAGTCATTGATGATTAACTTAATGCTGGACTGGTGTTGAACCATGGAGGACACTTACTAGGAACAGGCCTCCACCTGTATCTAGCTCTAGAATTCAGGGTACTGGGATTGGTTAGGTTTTTTGTTCATTTTTGTAATCAAGGAGAAAAGTAACTTACATTTGTTCATACTTGTTCTTCTGTGAAGTGTTAATGAAGCCAATAAAGCCTTGAAGTCTGTCCTTGACTAAATGTTCTACTTGTATCTGGCTGCCTGATACATTTACCACTTCATTTACTCAGTCTGCTGATATTTATGTCTCATAAATACTCTTTTTTTTCTATGTAAGCCGCAATCTTGGCTTAATTAAAGACCAGTTAGTCTTAGAAATTAATAATTTCACGTTTTTACTTTGTAGTGATTTTTCATATCTTTTTTAATGCTACATTTTCACATATCCCCTTCTTTGCTATATCAACTGCATGTACAGAATTTCTATATCATAATATTAGTGGTATTGTTTATTTTTGCTATTTGATTTTTGTTTTGAGACAATCCACTAGTACTCTGTAGTATATAAATTCATCCTTTTAAAACTGTCTATGAAATGTTTTGTATCTCTTACAAGAAAAATCTGTGCACATAACATTCGTATGTTAACAATTAATTCTGTTGATTACTGACATTAGGAGATGATATCAGATGCCCCAGTAGGCTACAGTGAGCACAGGGCTGTTTTCTGTTGCAGTGGCTAGTGACAGGTTTTATGCTGCAGTGTGTTACATGTGCAAATGTGGCTGGCCATAAGTGAAGGAAATTAAAATACAGTTTGCTGGCTTGTCTGTGTGTTCAACAGTGATCATTACGTGGTAATGTAATATAATATCCTACTTAAAATCTTTGCTTTTATAATTTTAATTTAAGAATGAAGGAGTAACTATTTGTTTTGTTACGTAACGTGTAAATGATTGCTTATAAAAAATAGATATCTGGTCTTCAAACAAGCTGATCTTGCTGTACATTGGAGGGATCTGCTGAAATGTGTAAAAAGTCCTTAGGAAGATCATTCTTGTAGACTACTGAAAGGCAGCTATGTCAAGCTTTATCCAGGTTTTCCTGCCTTACACTTCTTTGTGTGCTAGACCACAGGAAGCTGTAAAGGATATAAGAGCTATGAAAAGCTAAATATGTATATGAAATAAGTCCCCAAGTCTTGCTTCTTTTACTTGCAGAACCATAGTCTCTTTATTGTCTTACATCCTCTCTGACAAGTCAAGAGCTAAAATCCTCATTTACATAAAGCACACAGAGTTAGTAGAGTGGGAGAAGTACTAGAGTACACCACTTCTCTTTTATAGCAGTTACATATATATGCACTGTTCAGTCTTTTAGCTAATGAGCTACAGAATAAAGTTTTGGGAAGAAATATTTACTAGGGATATCTATGAGTGTTAAGGGGTGAGCTCTGCAGCACCATGGCTGCCATGGTTGTCATTTCCCAGTCTTTAATCCTCGTTCAGACTTTCCTGATTTAAGAAAACATTGATTTTTTGTGAAAGATTATAAGATTACATATATTGATTTTGAAAATAACACCATTCTTAATTATACATTTAAATTAAAAGCTTAAAGATTTTACATGGGAAAACTGGTCTTTGCTGCATAGTCTGTTGCTTCATAAAAGATCAATTTGCAAAACTTTTCTTTTAAAAAATCCCTTTATCTAGAACTTTAAATAAAATGTAATGCAAAAACTGTGGATGTTTTATCCCTGAAAATTACAGGTTTTGTGTTTTTTTTTTTTTTCCAAATAAAATGATAGAATTTATACCACTTCTCTTAAATGAGATTATGGTAAGACTTTCTGTAGAGATTTTATCTCTGATTGTGAAAAGTTAAAATGTGGTTGATTTCCCTGACCTGAATGAATTACTACCTATGCTAGTTACTCATTTAAGTAATTTTAAACACATAGTGTGTTTGCAGGATCCTGCTTCAGTTTTAAGTTTGAGCTATAAAAAATTAGCATACTTGCAGTATTGCTTTTTTAACTGGGACATTATATCTCTCTAGTTTAAGAAAAAAAGTTAAAGTATTAATGTCTTACATAGCTTAAGTGTAGATGTAACTCTGAAACTTCTTGCTATTTTCTTCCAGTTATTTTCCTCATATACTGTATTAGTGTACCAGGATTATTGTAGTACTAATAAAATCTAGCAAGATTCAGGTCTAACGCAATGATAAATAAATGGAATTTATGTTTTCAGGGAAGATGGTACCACCGGAAGCAAGCAGTAAAGGAATTGCATGGTACGTTGTTACGACTGCTTAATGAACTGTTACCATGGGAACCAAAGCTAATTAAAGCATTTCAAAGAAACAGGTAATTAGCTGCTTTTTTTTTAACAGTGGTGCATGAGATGAAACATGGAACAAAATTCACCTTTTAAACTAATCAATGAATTGGCTTCTCTCAAATAAGTTAATTGAAAATACTTTGAGGAGAGGCATGAGGCACTGGTAGTACTTTAATTGGAAGAAGTATTTTATATTCCAGACCTATCATCTTTAAATAAAGTTGAGTTTACCCTCTAATGGCTTTTCGTCCAAAATGTTCTAGAAACCCTAAGCATGCCTGTAAATAGTCTATCACAATACAGCTAGGATTTGTACTGCTGCTTATTTGGTTAAGAGAGACTGAAAACCTTTCTCTATAAAACTATACTAGGGCTTCTTAGAATACTCTGAGTGCTTCCTAAACTTACCCAAATTGGCTGTTAATGAATTCTCCACAGAGCAATTCTTGAAGCATTGTTTTGAGGTCTTGGTAACCCTGTAAATTAGAAATGCGTCTGGAATGAGGCATGTCAGAGTGGCAGATTTAAATCTAGTAAGGGCAAGTAGTAACAGTGAAGATGCTATCCTGATTATAAATCATGGAGAGATTAGGTATTGTCTTCAGGCTTGGTGCTGTTCTTGTTTGTCAGCCATATAGCTGTTGCTATAGTCAGACCTTATTTTTGCCACATAGACAGTTAAAGAACAAATAATGATTAAAAGCTTGAACTCTGTGACAAAGGAGAGCAGAAGTTAGGCAGCTGCTTAAATGTTGAGTGTAAACTTACAGCTATGTGGTACAAAACTAATACTGAAGAGTGTAAAAGGTATTATACTTAAAAAACCACAATAACATAACACTAAAGACAGTAAACAGATAGAAATACTAAGATTTTGGTTCCTTAGTAGCTCATTTAATGGATATCACGGATGAACTAAAATTCTTATTTGGAAATTTAGGATATTGTTGAGCATTTTGCTTTAAACAATTGACCCAAGTACAAGTTCTGGGTTTTTTCTATTTGTTTCTATTCACATTTCTGTTCATTTTCCTTGGCTGTTCATTTCTCCCTGTTTTTTTGCAATTTAGATTCCTTCTGGAAATAAGGCAGATAGTATTACTATTAGGAAGGGTTTAATTTTCCAGTACACGGGGTTTCCAGTTTTATCTTTTTTGTAAATTCTGGTGTGGAATGGTTTGATGCCCAGTATTAGTTCTTGTTTAGTGAATCACAGAATCATAGAATGGTTTGGGTTGCAAGGGACCTTAAAAATCATCTAGTTCATACGCCCCTGCCATGGGGGAGCTCACAGCCCCATCCAACCTGGTCTTGAACACTTCCAGGGATGGGGTATCCACAGCTTCTTTGGGCAACCTGCTCCAGTGCCTCATGAGCATCGCACTACAGAATTTCTTCCTAATATCCCATCTATGCCTACTCTTTTTCAGTTTGAAACTATTCCCTGTCACTACATGCTCTTGTAAAAAGTCTCTCTCCATCTTTCTTGTAGGCTTCCCTCAGGTCCTGGAAGGCTGCAGTTAGGTCACCCCAAAGCCTTTTCCAGGCTGAACAATCCCAATCCTCGTAGTCTTTCCTCATAAGAGAGGTGCTCTAATCCTCTAATCATCATGGTGGTCTCCTCTGGACCTGGTCCAACAGGTCGATGTCCTTCCTGTGCTGAGGACCTGGAACTGGATACAGTGCTCCAGGTGGGGTCTCACCAGAGCAGAGCAGAGGGACAGAATCACCTCCCTAGACCTGCTGGCCATGCTGCTTTTAATGCAGCCCAGGATACAATTGTCTTTCTGTGCTTCAAGTGCACATTGCTGGATAATGTCCAGCCTCTCATCTACTAGCACCCTCAAGTCCTTCTCCTCAGGACTGCTCTCAGTCCCTTTTCCCCCCAGCCTATATTGATACTGGGGGTTACCCCAACCCAGGTGCAGCAGTTTGCACTTAGTATTTTTAAATCTCATGAGATTCCCATGGACCCACTTCTCAAGCTTGTCCATGTCCCTCTGGATGGCATCCTGTCCTTGAGGTGTGGCAATCACACCCTTCAGCATGGTGTCTTCTGCAAATTTACTGAGGGCGCACTCAATCCCTTCATCTGTTTAATTAATGAAGATTTAAATAGCCCAGTATGGACCCATGAGAAACACCACTGGTCACTGATGTTCATCGGGACTCTGAGCCATTGACCCCTACCCTCTGGATGCCACTGTCCAACCACTTTCTTATCCACCTAACAATCCACTCCTCAAACCTCTCTCTCCAGTTTACAGAGAAGGATGTTGCGGGGGAACATGTCAAGGGCTTTACAGAATTCCATATGAATGACATCTATAGCCCTTCTCTTATCCGCTGCTGTAGTCATTCCGTTGTGGAAAGCCACTCGGTTGGTCAAGCAGGACTTGCCCCTGGTGAAGCTGTGCTGGTTGTCCCAGATTACCTCCCTGTCCTTAAAACGCCTTAGCAGAGCTTCTAGTAGGGTCTGTGCAATGATGATTCCAGGCACAGAGGAGAGGTTGACAGGTCAGTAGTTCCCCGAATCCTCTTTTCAACCTTTTTAAAGATGGGTACAATGTTTCCCCTTTTCCAGTCACCTGGGACTTCAACTAATTGCCATGGCTTTTCAAGTATCTTGGAGAGTGTCTCAGCAACTACATCAGCCAGTTCTCTCAGGACTCTGGGGTGCATCTCATTGGGTCCAACAGACTTCTGTACATTCAGATTCTTCAAGTGGTCATCAATCTGATCTTTGCTTACAGTGGAAGGGACTTTGCTCCCTCAGTCCCCTTTCTGCTGTCCATCCACTCAGGAGGTGAGGGAAGAGAGTCGGCCATTGAAGACTGAGGCAAAAAGTTGTTGAGTACCTCAGCCTTCTCAATGCTGCAGTTTTTCAGCCTTGTTTATCGGAGGGGGTACACCTCCTTTGCCCTTCCTTTTCTGGTTAACATATCTGTAGAAGCCCTTCCCGTTATTCTTTACGTCCCTTGTCATGTTAAGTTCCAGATTTGTCTTGGCCTTCCTCACCCATTCCTTAAGAACCAAGCTTCATCTCTATACTCTTCCCAGAGTACCTGTTCCTGTTTCCTCTGCCTGTGCATTTCCTTCTTGCCCTTCAGTCTGACCACCAGTTCCCAACTCACCCATGCTGATCTCTTGCCTTCCGTACCTGATTTCTTGCCCATGGGTATTGCCAGCTCGTGTGCTCTAAGAAAGACTTCCTTAAAGATATGCCAGCTCTGATGTGCTTCCTTATCCCTGAGGGCAAGGGCAGTTTCCTAAGTGATCCCGTTGGCTATCTCCTTGAAGAGCTGGAACTTTGCTTTCCATAAGTTCAGGGGCCTAACTTTACCTGACTCATATCCCTCAGGACTGCAAATTCCACTGATGCATGATCTCTACAGCCCAGGTCTTGATGTCGCAGATTAGCTCATTTATTTGGTGCCCATCATGTCCAGTATCACATCCTCTCTGGCAGGGCTGCTGTCACAAGAGCCTGCGGGCACGATGCCTCCTGTAGCTGGAGCAGGAGAGCTTTGTCAATAGGCAACCCTTAGTCAGGGGCCTGTAATAAAAACCAACCACAAGGTTCCCTTTGTTGCCTTGATCTCTGATTCTTACACACAGGCTTTCAACCTGCTGGTGGCTGTTTTTCAGAGACAGCTCTTCACACTCAAACCACCTCCTGAAGTAGAGAGCAGCCCCTCTGTCTCTCCTTCCTCCCCTGTCTCTTCTGAACAGCCTGTAGCCATTGATAGTCTCACTCCAGTCATGTCCCAAGTTTCAGTAAGGCAACAAGACCATAGCTTTCCAGCAGCACAGTGGCTTCTATGTCCTCCTGTTTGTTGCCCATGCTGTGTTGATGTGGCTATAGAATACAGAACTGTCATTTATAGTGTGTTCCAGTGCTGTATATGAGCTATGACTGATAGGAGTAAATTTTAGTCTGGAACTGGATGGTTGAGACCTTACAAGTATGTGTACTGATAGCTAGAGAACCATGCACTTAGAGTGCAAGATAACTTCTGGGATTAATTAATTCAATTAATATTTCTTAGTATTTATGTTTTAGGCTGTAACCCTAGTTTATTCTACGATGCTGAGTATTTCCATGACATAACTGTTTGGACATACACATAGTATACCAGGGAACAGCTCCATCTGAAAAACAATGTTTCTAAATCATGCGGAGGAAAGAAAGATGGGTGGAGGATTCTAGGTCAGTGTCTTGATCTGGTTCATCATGCAGCTTCTAGGCAACCCTATAGCACCAGTGACAGTGATGAAGAAAGGTATCATGTAAAAGGAAAAAAGCAATTGAGTAAAATTTGCTTATGGTGGTGTAAACATCAGTACCACAAGTCTCGCTGTCGTTGCTGTGTCTATAGGGTATCTCAGTGAACTACTAATGTCTGCTAACTGAACAACAGTTCTGAACTGAACACAGTTCTGAGTTGTGGAAGGCTGGGCAGAGTTCCTTCCTCCTTATACCGCACTATGGAATAAGGGTCTGGAGTTTTCCTTCCTTCCTTTTTTATTGTCTTTAACTAGTAGGAGCACACTTTATGGTCAAAATTGTTTTCTTTCCCTTCTGAAAGGTCCTCTGGTCTTTTCAAAATTATGACAGAGAATAATGTTGAATGGTGTTTGAATAGCAGCAAGGTTTAAAACTAAAAGTTACTTGTGCCCACTGATTACAGCGGTTCACTGACCCCACAGAAGTTCCTCAAAAGAAAAAAGGGAATTCCATCCAGAAGTTTTAATACAGTAGTGGTTCCCTGGTGTCCTTCTATAGTTCTTCCACACCTAGACTCCAAGCTCAAAACCCTAATGACAGAGTTGAAGTATTGTCCACACTGCATCTTCATACAGGCTTCAGTGTTGTCTTTTCTCAGTGAGAGTGCCAAAGCTGTGAGTAAACAGTTAGGTCTCACTGACCCTTAGCAGCCCCACGTGGCCCTCCATCCACACCACCTGTCCATGGGCCCAGGATCCCCATTTCAGGTCATTCTGCAGCCTTCAATCTCTGCCAGTTTCTATGCCAGTTTCCAGCTCAACTACGTCAGTTACTGTGCCTGGCCATGGGTCTTGCTGATCTAGACTGACTCGCAGACTGACCTACCAGCATCATCACTGTAGAACTGCCCAGAAATCATTCAACTGGGTCCTGACCCTGGTAGCTGTCACTGGACCTGGTCCTAATCTGAACCTTTAAATTGATTACCCAGCCTGACCTCAGACCTGCCTCAGCACCAGGAACTTGCTGTTCGTCTGGGCTCTTAGTTGAACCCAATTACCCCTAGGCCTTCCCTGCTTCCTCATTCAGGGACAGGTGTGCTGGCTGGCGATGCTCTTGCCCTGTGAGCTATGACATACTTGGCTCGTCCCTCTCCACCTCTTAGAGAGTCGCTGGCCATTGCTGCACTTAGTGCAAGCAACTGTTATTTTAATGCAAAAGAATGGGTAAATTTAAGATCTTATTCATACTGTCATAAGGGTTAGGTCCAGAATAGAGTCTAGATTCTATTCCACACAAGGTGCTAATTGCTATAATTTATTTATTCATTTGCTAAATAATCCTCCTGGGTATTTTGTTGGTAATCACCAGCTGAATCCTGAAGTTCATTGTATTTGTACACTAAAATAGCCACTAGATCCTATCTAAACAATGGTTTAGAAGAAGGGACAATGGAAACGTAACAGTTTAGCGCTATCAAGGTAAGTGGATATGTTTCTGAATGGTGTTCAAATGAGTAAAGTAGCTATGTATTTCTGTCATGTACCTATTCTTTAGTGGAGCGTGAATCTGTGGAAGTGGTAGTAACAGCTGTTCTAATGGCACAGAGATAAGAAAATGTTCTCTAAGGAGAAAGTTACATTACAGTCCCATAGCTGGGCCAACAGCATGATGCATTTAAGAAAAACAAGATTTAGTTACTTCTCTAGCTGGGGTTGCTGTCAGAGAAAGGAGTAGGCTTGTTACAGTTAATACTCAAGTCCGTATAGGTATTTCTGTCACAATGCAAAGCCAAGGAAGAAACCGAAGATGGATGCAATAAAATAGTGATGATCATATTTGACTCAGTGTTTTTGCTTATTGTTAGATAACTTAATGACATAGAATTCAGTTTGGCAAAGGAAAGGACCTTACTGTCACTTCAGATTTTCCAGGTTTCAGAGACTTGCAGACAGAGCTACAATGAAATTTTTTGAGGGGCACAGGCAATTAAATCTATACCAACTTTTTGTATGGCAGCAAATAGAAATAAAAATAATGTTTAAAACAGTGTGGTTTTTTAGTAAAGTTAGTTTTGTTATTTTCAAGGTCTAGATTGAAGAAGGACTATGATGACTTTAAAAGACATCCAGACCATGATAAATTTACCAGAGAATTGTGGAGTAATGATGAAAGTGAAGTTGATTCTGGCAAAGAATCTTTTGCAGTAGTATGCGGTAAATCATCAGAGTCTGCAGAACATATAGAAGTTCCCAAAAAAGATCACTCAGACAATGGTAAGCATTTACTGGAATTCAGGAGCTTGAACTTGATTCAGGAGCTGAATCAAGGTGATTTGGGAACTTAATTTTTCCATGTGAGCTTGTGTCCTGCTTTTTACCTTAACTACTACTGTGATAATACCAAAAGAGCTTGTGGTCTGCATCTGTCGTATGTAGACTTGAAGAGGGCAGACATGACCAAGATGAAAATTCTGCTTTATTCAAGTGTTTGCCATTTCTTTTTGTGCTTAACTATTTCTATGATAACATAGTAGACTTGTGTGGTATTTACTTTTATGGTGGGTTGACCTTGGCTGGCTGCCATATGCCCACCCAGCCCGTCTGTCACCCCTCTTCCTTAATGGGACAGGGAGAGAAAACAGTGTAGAAACGCTCAAGGGTCAAGATACAGACAGGGGGGATCACTGACCAGTTACTGTCACAGGCAAAACAGACTCACTTGGGGAGATTTAATTTCATTTATTGCCAATTAAAAATAGAGTAGGATGGTGAAAACCAAATACAAAAGCTAAACCTGCCCCCCCCTTTCCCATTTCCACCTTCTTCGAAGACTCATCTTCCTTCCCAATTCTTCCAACTCCTCCCCTGTCAAGTGGTACAGGAGGAATTGGGGCTGGGGATTGAGGTCAGTTCATAAGAGTTAGTCTCTGCTGTTCCTTCCTCCCCTCTGCTCCAGTGTGGAGTCCCTCCTATGGGATACAGTCCTTCACAAACTGCTCCAGTGTGGGTCCTCTACACAGACTAGAGTCTTTCAGGATAAGACTGTACCTGTGTAGGTCCCCCATAAGCCACAGTTCCTGTTAGGACCCTACTCCAGTGTAGGCTCTTTATGGGCTGCATCTTCTTTCAAGCCATATTCACCTGCTGTAGAATGACATCCTCCCCAGCCTGCCGTGTACATACCTGTTCCAGCATGGTCCTTCATGGGAGCCGGTCAACCTGCTTGATCATGGGTTGCAGGGGAATCCATTCCAGTGTCTGAAGCGCTTCTTTCCCCTCCTTCACTGACCTTGGTGTATACAGGGTTGTTTTGCCTACATTTTGTCCTTACTGTGCTCTGTCACACCCTTCTGCAAAGCATTTTTCACAGGACATCACCAGCTCGGCAGACAGGCTTGACCATGTCCTGCAGTGGATCTGTTTTGGAGCCAGCTGTGTCTGGCACAGGGCAACTCCTGGCCTCTGTCCTCATAGAGGCCTCCCTGCTGCCCCACACTGCCAAAACCTCAATACATGGCCCCTCTGTCTGCTGGGCACCCCTGCCTGCATCCTCAGCCATCTTATCCACTTCATGCATCCCCTGCTCATTGTCTGGTCTAGCTTGATGCTCAGTATGAAACTGGGCATTCACATCTTTGTCCCACAGGCACCCTACCCTCACAAGTCCACCTGTTCTACCAGCCCAGACCCCAAGCCCTCCTGCTTACTTGCTAGTCTGGCTTGAAGTTTAGTAGTGAATACACACACACTACCCCCACATGCACTGGATTTGAGGAGGATACAGACATTCACCCCGCAGCAGATTGCACCAGGCAGACAGGCTGTGACCTCTTGCAGCCATCCTTGCAGCTCCCCCTTCCTCTGCACATCCCTTCATGGATTTGTATAGCTCTACCAATTTCCTCACCCCTCCCAGCCCAGTCTCCAAGATCTCCCCTGGTTTATAATCATATCAGGTGCAAAGTCCAGGTTGATCTTCCTGCAAGGGGCATATGCAGTTTCTTGATAGCCCATCAATCGGTGTGATTGGCGAGGCTGTTTCTTGTCATTGTCTGCATTTTTATTTTGTTAGATCTGTGTCTCTGTATATCTTTTTTTCCTGGCTTCTCCCTTTTTCCCTTCAAAATAACCTTGCTGGAATAAACATTCTTATATTCTCACATGCCATTAACAATTCATGTGAATGACCAGGTTTGGTTTTCCTCACTGTCTCCCATTGCCGATCAGGTTTCAGTTCCTGAACTGTTTTTGTTTATTACTTCCTCCTTTCCTTATTACCCCCTTTTTTCATTGAAAAAGATCCTTGACCAGATTCCCCTAAAGACGCAGACATTTCCTTCCATATGCTCTTGCAAATATTGCCTTTAGGTAGACACTATAAAATTGTTTTGGTTTCAAACATGTAAAATGCAGTTTCTGTTTTAATATCCTTGCAGATGAAATGAAACTATTAGAGATGAATTTACCTGCAGGAAAAAACAGAATTCTGAAAAAAGAAACAGCTTCTAAAGAAATCCAGAAGACACTGCCCAAATGCATTAAACGACAGTTCAAGCAAAATAGTTGTCTGGATCAAAGCACTAATGAGCTCTCACCAAGGAAGAAAGCTAAGCTGAGCACTGTTGAGACTGTAGTCCAGAGTTCAGAAAGTAGCCTGCAGCCGGATAGTTGTTTAACTGAGCTAAAACAGTTTGAAGGATCAAGTTTAGAGTTTTTTTCCTTGACAGATCCTACAACATCAGTATCAAACTTTCTGAAAGGGACCAAACCCATCCAGGCCTTGCTTGCCAAGAATACTGGGAACAAAGTGACCTTAACAAATCAACCGTCGCCTCCCCCAGGCATAAATGTATCGACTTCTGAAAAGTCAGTTTTACCACCTTCGGAATCATCAGTGATCAAACCAGCATTGCCCTGCCAGGCCAGTTCAAAGACTCCCTTACAAATGGTATACAAAATGCCGAATGGCCATTGTGTACCAATAGACCTTCATAATAACTCAGTGAAAATTCAAATGCAAACTGTGACTGACCCTAAAACTGGAGAAAAAGTCATGCAACAAGTTCTTATTTTACCTAAGAATTTTCTTCTTCAGCAGCAGGAAGGAAAAATTGTGTCCAAGGACGTTCAGCCACTACAACAAAAATCATCTGAGCTGCGCTGTACATCTTTACCAAAAGTGTCAAATATCAGTGTTTCTTTAACACCTGTTCTGGTGACAGACTCTGCAAATACTACCACTCAGTCACCTACTACAATTTTTAGCAAGAATATTACCCCCTCGTCACAAGTGTCCGGTCCCATGAACAATACACTATCATTGCCTGATGTAACTTCAGCAGGTAACTTACTATCATCAAAAATTAAGGTGAACCAAACTGAAACTGACAAAATCAAGACTACAGTTTTGACTGCTACATTCCCTGTGTCTTTGACTTCATCTACTCCTTCCACAGCTAGCCAGTCCTTGATACCAGCAACAGCATTAAGTGGGTCTGCGAACACTGATTCTGCCTGTCATAGTCCTGCATCGCAGCAGCCAACTGACTCCTGTGAAACTAGGCAAGAGTTGAAGACTGTATGTGTAAGAGAATCACAATCTATTCTGGTCACAACACGAGGCGGAAACACAGGCATTGTTAAAGTGCAAACAAACTCAGACCAAATTTCACCTAGTAGTTTATCTTCTAGTTCAGTTTTCACTTACACTTCTCAACTTCAGGCCTTTCTTGTACCAAAAACCACAGCATTATCATACTCTACTCTTCCATCTCTAGCAACAGCTACATCTGGTTTCCCACATATTGGACAATCATCTGTTTCTGGATTTGCCCCCTCAACAGCTTCTTCTGTTAACATTCCAGCTTTCCCAGCTGATTTTACCCAGGCAATGGAGAAAAATATCAAATTCACACTACAGCAGCCTCCTGTTGGGCACACTTCAGGTCAAGTAATAGAGAACTCCTGCTGTGTGTCCTCTCCTTTATCTTCCATTTCATTAGCTAGCAATGTGATGTCCACAACTCCAAACAGTCCTGTTAGTGTGACTAGCACTGGACAAAATAACACTGTCGTAACTCCAAATTCTTCTGTACAGCATCAAGGGGATACTAAAACCAAAAAAAATTCTGTTATACACTCTGAGTCTAATTCAGCAACAAGTGGGGATTTAGTCAGTGGTACTCCAGTCCAGAAATTTACATTAGTTACAAATTCACCAATTTTATCTCCCTCTGGAGCATCAGGAGTCAGTATTATACCCTCTCCAGCATCCACTGCTGTTAATGCTCAGAAACTGGTTTTTGTTAACACACAAATTGCCAGTGGCCCATCAACCACCAATCTAGTTGCAGAGTCATTGAGACAGAACCTTCCTTCTTCCCTAACCAAAACCTTTCTTAATGCTACAGAGCAACCACATTTGGTTTTGATCCCATCTACGATAGGAGCACCAATAAGAATAAATTCATCACCAACTATTGCTCAAGTAAAAGATGTAAAAATTGGACTAAATATAGGTCAGACCATTGTAAATACTAAAGGCAATGCACAGGAGGCCCCACCAGTTAATGTATTGCATTCTACCATTTCTAAAGGAGAAGACAAAAAAAGCATTGGCTTGGCGCTGTCTTTGACAAGTAGCAGTACTGTGGTTCCTGCTCCAGCTTTTGCTGTGTCAGCTAATGAATCTGTATGTGTTGCAACAAAAGCTGAAAATGCCTTTACAGTAACAATGGCACATGCCTGTGTAGAATCTGTTTCAGTAGCACCAAGTGGGACTACTTCTAGGACACAGTCCACTGTCTTGACTGGTGGCAATGATCCCTCAAGAATAAGGCCAGTTCTGGGTAATCGACTTTGTACATCAAATATTGGAAATATGGGTATATCAACTGTGAAAACAGGACATCTTGCTTCATCTGTGCTGATTTCAACCACACAACCAACAGTATCTCCTCAAAACTTAGCATCTGCTTTGCAATTTCCATTCATTAGCTTGCCTGGATCTGCAGCCACCCCCCAAAAGGTGTTACATACAGTTCCTCAGTTAGCAACAGTTCCAGCTCCTCTTCTAGTATCAAAAAACCAGTTGCCCACGCTGCCTCAGTTTCAGTCATCAGGAACTTCAGCTGGTATGTCAAGTCACACAGGTATTCACAAACCTCAGAGTGTGTTGCCCTCTCCGTCACCAAATACAGGTAAAGTCGTTAGCTTTCCCAGTTCCTCTACCCTACAATGCCAGCAGGTGCCTCTCAGTACAGAGAAAAAAAGTCATGATTACACTTGTGCTTCTACTGCTCAGATGTCTTCAGCTTCACCAGCTCTAACAAGCAAAACCGGAGGAGGTCAGTTGAATGAATCTTGCATTCAACAGAAAATAGTCATTAACACCTGTATGCCTTTGGCACCTGGAACTCAGATAATGATTAACGGTACTCGTTTTGTTGTTCCACTGCAAGGCCTTGGAGCTGGCAGCCACGTTCTTCTTCTCTCCCGTAATACGAAACAGACTCCTTTCACTGTTAACCATGGTCAAGAGGCTCAAGGTGTACCAATTGTTAATCCAATAACCTCAAAAATCATCTTAGCACCAAGTAATTCATTGGGTTGTCAAATATCAAAACATCCTTTGAAAAGCTCCACGAAAATTATGAACTCTTTTGGTGCCGCAGATGCTTTACCCATCGTACATGCAACGCCCCAGATATTTAGTACTCCAGCTAGCTCATGTACTCCACTGTCCGGGGTAACACTGTCTGTGTCTTCAGTGACAAAATCTCCTATTAATGTTGTAGCTACATCTTCTGTTGTTTCTGCCGTTCATCCTCCGAATTCTCATTTGCCAAACAACACTTCAGTGTTTCACTTAGACACTTCTATCAAAAAACTGTTGGTCAGTCCAGAGGGAGCCATTTTGAATGCTCTAAATACTCCAGCACCAAAAGTTTCTCCTCTGTCTTCATTGCTGCCTCCTGTTGTTGTGTCCACAAGCAGAAATCCTACCACTGTCTTCCCTGCATCTCAGTCATCTTGCCTTGATAAACCTGACAAAGCTGCATTCTGAATTTACTGCAAATGAGCCACTTTGAAATTTTGGGGCATTCCTCAGACTTTGGAAGTTGTAACTATTGGATAATTTCTTACAACCAGTTGATTTACTCAACAGTACTTAAGGTTGCAGTTCTTTCCTGTTCACCTGTGGGGATTAAGAGGAAGAAAAATTTTAGTTTGTCGGAAGTTTTCAGAGAGTTCTTTAGTAAAAAGGTCAGAAACGACCAATGAGTTCATTAAACAGTTTGGAGAAATCTCACCTTTTGCACATGTTCCATCTTACATTATGGACTGTTTGCCAGTGTGTTTTTGACAGTATATGTCTTCTTTTATTTGTCAAATTTATTTTTGATCTGTTTCTTTAAGGAAAATATTTATGCATTGTAAAAATGCAATCTATAGAGTAGAATTGTACATATTCTTGAATTCCTAACAGTCCATACTAAACAATATGTACAAAGAACTATGCTGTCTTATTTATGTTTGGTTTACATAGTGTATAGTTTTTTAAATATTTTAGTAACTTTGGACCAGTGTACTGTTTAGCAACTGCAGAAGAATCTGCATATAATAAATCAAGTTGCTTTACTGCTTTGTGTTGGCAATAGTTAAAAATACGTGTATCTGTTACACTGTGGCAGAATACATGCATACATACATACATATATATATATATGTATATGTATATATATGTGTATATATATGTGTGTGTGTGCGTATACACACATCTTTCTTTTGGTGTGTGGTAGAATGAAATTATTTAACCTCTTTTGCTTTTCTCTGCTTTTACATTTCACATGATTTAGCAGGAGTTGGAAGGAAGGCCTTCTTGTTGATCCTCGTGATGCAGGGCTGGATAAGCCATACTTCATCCGTTCTTAATAAATGTTTGGTTATATTGCCTAAATAACTCCAGTGATGTGGTAAGGCTACAAGTGGCTTTTCAGACACCAGTCTAAGTCACACTGGTTACTGTTAAGGACTAACATGTTTTGTCTTAAAGCTCATAGATCTGTTGAACAGTTTGTTACTCTCTTTTTTACAGCCTTATATGCATTTCCATATGTCTGATGACTGTAACAAGATCACTTGTTAGTCTTCTATCTAGCCATAACAAATGACCCATTTTTTTTCACCAGTCATACTTTCTAGATCTGTATGTTTTTCTTTAGCTTATAATTGGTCTATCTTGAAGGATAGCACTAAAGCATCACATAATATTAATGGAAGCTTTATTAGTGCTTTGGGGATAATAATATGTTACAGAAACCTTCCTTTTTTATGCAGTGTATTCAGTATTTGTTGACTTAGTTTCAGCTTTTGATGTGATAAAACTTTTGGGTTACTTTCTGCAGATCTGCTGAGTTCACAGCTGCCTGCTGCAGTGCTCGTGGAGATAAGGTTTTAGGTATCTTTTGAGATTTTGCATATAAAGAAAGGGTGCCCATCTTATTTTATGGAAGATGATGATTTTAGAATTGCTATCTTTGTATGTGTTGATTTTTTGTAGAGTTTGTTTGGTATTTTTTAGAAACTAGAAGGGAAGATTTCAGAAGAATTTAAAAATGATAATTGCCTTTCTAATAGCTATGACTTCAAAGGGGATAAAAGCTTAACATATCTGTATATAGCAGAATTCTTAGACTGAGTTTCAACAAGATGAAGCTTCAGCCTTTGCTCTTCATCCTTTTGAATTTTCCACTTCCCTTCCCCTTTTGCTATACTAGTTTGGCAGTTTGGATATTGAGTTGACGAATAGGACCACAGCTTACTCGCTCTGTGTCGGCTGCCCTTTGTATTGTTCTGAAAAGTAGCCTGGTAGCTAGTTTGCTAGAGTTTTGGGAAAGTGGGGGGAAGAAAGGCTTGTGCCTTCCATAGGGACCTTTCCTTTTGCACTAACTTAAAAAATTGCATTGGGAAATTGCATCTTTCCATCTTATCTCAGGGCTGGGACAGATGGAAGCTGTCAGTTTTGGGATTAGAGAAGGTTTGTTTAAATTTTAGGAAAAGCTACCTGCTACACCTTTGCTACTTCTCATTAAAGGCATTTTGTAATGGATTTTGAAAACACCTAGCAGTAAGTATGTCTGTCCATCAGAGTTCACAGTATTAAGAATTTTTAAATCTGACTGCACATTACAGTTGAATGCTGCAGTGACTTTTCCAACAGAGGAAGATGGCAGAGAGTGGCAGTTTCTTCATGGACATTTTACATACTCTAAAACCATATATACCAGAAGCTCATTTTATTTCCATTTCACTGGTGGAACCATGGGACTCACTTTCTTGGATTTTTCTATTTTCTTGCAATGGCTGTTTTTTCCTTTTTTTTTTTGTTCATTTAGGTTTGTTGTAGAGTGAATATCTATGCTGTTTGAAAAGCTCAAGACTAGGTTCTGCCGTTGCAGATATTCTTGATGAGAGAAAAAAATCTTGCATGACATTTTTCTGCGTGCTGATGTAGTAGAAAGATTTATGCTATAATTGATTCTAATAAAGAGAGAAGTTAGAAAAGCTGAACTGAAAAACTCAGGACTCAAGTAACTTGCCTGAATGATTTCCAAGAAATTTTCTGAATTAATATGATAATATTCTATGATTTTTATAAATATTGTATAATTTGGAAGACATGTACTTTACAACATGAAAAGTTTGAGTCAGTTTAATTAGAGTTTCATGGACTTTTATTCTCTACTAGACATGTGTTCAGATTCCAAGTCCTATTGGAGAAGGACTTGAGACTGCTATGTAATGGGCTTGCATCATTCATTATGTAAAACCGAATTTTAGTAATTTTTGCGAATAAAATTCCTATTCCCAACACTGTTCTCCAATAATATAGATGTCAGGCAGAGTTAAGGTTTTCTTTCAAATGCAAGTAAATAAACATTGACACTTTGCTATGTACCTTTTACTCTCTACCAAATGTATCGTGCTACTTATAGCACAAAAAGAACTGTGAACAAGTGGATTATATTCACAGACACAATGAAAAAGCAGAACTACCTGCATCTTTACTTGAATTTTAAAAGACATTTAGTTACACATAAAAACAGATATATAAATCAGCCTTTTAACAAAAGGTGTTCAACTTTTCAGTGCTTGTAAAATGCCTTACTTTTAGATCCCTTCTGATATTATTTACAGCTATTCATACACAATATTATATACAAAACTTTGGATTTATAAATTACTTTGAATATTTTGAATTATATCCTTTATATTTACCTAAATTAACATGTTCTGCACAGTAATTTTGGTTTGCTCTGAGTAGAAAATTACACTTATTTTGCTTCACTGTTCAAACCCACATCTGTGAACTGCCATTTTCTCCTAGGGATTCTGCCCCTGCCACACTAGGAACAGTTAAATTTCGCGTGTATTATTTGTTATAAAAGTATCTGTTCAAACCAAGTGTGTTACTGTGAAGTCATTCAAACCCATGCTGATTCACTGTGTGACATAGCAAAGGGTACAATGTGAAAAGGAAAGCAAAAATTCTCCTGATAAGTGAAGAGGCAATAATTTGTCTCATGGGAGTAGGTCAGAAAATTACTAAAAGCTAGCATTTGAAGGGCATCCATAGCCTTACCACAGAGTTAGTTTCATAGTTGGTTTTCCTTCTATTTTGTGGTAGTGCAGAGTTTCAGTTGCCCAAAATGGTTTTAAATTAATTAATCATTTTTATTAAAGCACAAATGTTTGTTATGATGAAACTCTTTCCTTTAAAAAGAACAGCCAGAGGTGCTCAAAGGGACTCAAACTCATGTAGCCTGTTGTCTGTAAGCTGCACCTGAAGAGAGTTAACTGACTCAAAGTAGGATTAGTAATGCCGCATCAGACTTTAGGTCCATCACGTCTCTTGAGGCAGTCAACAGTAGCATTCCAAAAGAGCACAATAACAGCCCCGAATAATCTTCTAGTATCCACTAATCTGTGAGCCAGAGTCTTCCTCATGCAACTGTGTTTTTCTTCAGTTTAATAGCTTTCAGTGTATTTCTCTTGATGAAATGGACCAATCCTTTCTAGAATTTTTGAAAGCATGTAAACAAACTGTTACCATCCACAGCACCCAGTGGTAAAGAATTTGTAAATAAATTTCCTTTTTGGTTTCAGAACCTGGCACCTGCTAGTTTCATTTGATGCAAATAATATTTATATTGTAAGATGCAATAAGCCTTTGCTGTTTAGTCATTTTTCCATGTGGCCTATGTAGACCTTTGCCATGTTGGTTGTCTCTTCTCTAGAATAAAGAGAAATAGTGAATTCAGTTATTTCCTATATGGAAGTAATTAGTTGCTGTCATTGTTGTGTGTGCCTTTTTCAGTTTTACTGTGTCCTTGTGGGATCAGAAGAGCGCATGTTCTAAAAGCACTGAATCTATTCAGCGGTGTGTTTATGTGTCTCATAATTATTTCAATGTTTGCGGGTTGGTTTCTGACTATTATTTAGCCTTATACTAACTTTTTCATAGAAATATTAATTTTAAACCAAATACACATCAGTATCAAATTCATTTCATCCTTATAAAACTATACCACTTGCAGAATATCATGGCTGTAAAGACGTGGTCTTTAAACCAGGCTATTGAAACCAGTGCAAGTCTGACACTCTCCCAGTTCCTGTTTTTGTTTGGTTTAGTTCTCTTGAAAATGTAAAAGGACAAGCAAAATTATTTTGATGATGGTTTTTTAATTCTCATTATTTTTATGCATAGAATGCAAGGTTAGGTCTGTATATTAGATGCATGGTCATTTTATACACATTGACATCCAGATAAAGATTTTTTAGTTGTTGAAGAGGCCACTTTATAAATGTGATACAGAACATTGTTATTTTAATATATTTTCCTTGAAACCACAGTGGCATAAAAACAAACTTTAAGATCTTGATAGACATGTATTTTCTTAATTTCTCAAAATATGGAATTGTTTGGTCAATAGACCTGGATGTCTGGCGTAAACTTGGTAACCAGGACACTTTGTTGTTTCATATGTGATTATTCCAGAAGTTCTTCAGAAAGTTCTTACAGTATCTTTTACTACAATCTCAGCTGAACTACACATGTTAAATGAAAATGGTTACATACCATACATACTGCTTTACAAGCAGTGTAAAGGAAATGTAATTAATTACTTATAGTATTTCTTGAAATTATGTTTGTTACACAGAAGGTCTATTAAAATATGCATAAATATGATTTTCCACCTTTTGCAGATGAAGGCAATGAAGTACTGAGTTCTCATAGCAACATGGAGGAACTGGGAATAGAATCCTTGGTCCCCTGAACTCCTTCCAGCATCCCATCCATTACTAAAGGTTAGACAACTAGATTACTGCTTTATTTTCCCCTATTTTTGCTTTTTAAAAAGAAGAAAAAATTATTTAGAAAATTAAATTGTTTTCAAGAATGTGAGGGGCATTGACAGATAGCATTTATAGAAATTAAATAGCATGGGAAAGCCAGATAGTAAAGAAACAACTGTGATTTTTGTGATTGTCTTCAGTCTTTAGAACTTTGCTTGTCAATATTGATGTATAAAAAGAAGACAATACTCTTCTTTAATTATTCATATTGATTCCATCTATTAAATACACAAGCATAAGATCAGACTACTTTGGCTGGCAATAGGTCATCAGCACCTGGTACCAGCATATACGTTGAGATCCGTCCAGATAATGTACTGTTATTTGTAGAATTGTTCTTCACTCTTTTTTTTAATCACACACAGCTGTGAAATAAAACACCAAAGAGGGATTAGTGACAAGGTATTACTATGTAGCCACAGGGCGTCTTCCGTGTAATAACGAAAGAGTGGAATTATGATGGATTTGATTTACACAGTATAAAAAGCAGGTATTTTTACTATTATAATCAATTACTGAGAAGAAGGAATTGCTTACATCTATTTATAAAAACCCTTGTCAATTCATATTAGCAACACACAAATACTAAAAATATAATAGTTTGAGGCTTGTCTGGCCAGTAATATATGGTTCATCTACATGCTATGCCTTCAAAATATTGTTCTTGCCTCTAGAGTGCTTTTCTGCAAAGTGATCTCAGAAAAACAAAAAGTGGGAGAGGCCTGTCTGGAAGTATTTTACTCCTTCCATGGCCTAAGAAATTGATGCAAAAGCATAATCTTTTGTTATAAACCAGCCCATATTTGAAAGTGAGTTTCTTTGGCACATGAAATGCCAGCGATGCATTTCATTACAGCAGTCCAGTCATTGTATGAGCTGCACCTTAAACTGGGCATTTGTCTCACTATAGTGGCCAGCAGAGAATGCTTAGTGGAAAGAACAAGAAATAAACAAATATGAATTAGTTTTCCCCAGTATGTACACACATCATCTAAAAGTAATTCCAGGAGAATTTTGTGAACTCAGCCTGAGTTTGTCTGTGACATGAAAGAGCAGATTTTGCAGCCAAAGAATCAGGTACTGGAGAAAGGTGAGCAGTAATTCAGAGAAGCAGAGCAGAAGAAAAAATGACATAAAAGCATAAAATTGCTTCTCCGGTTTAAGAGGTTGTAGGAGAAGCTAAACAGCTAAACAGAATCCTGCTAAACAGGAGAAGTTTTGAGTGAGGAGTTGACTGAAATATCATTGTTGTCCTTCCTGTTGGTGAGGCCAAAATCTAAGAAATGTACATTATATGGGCTGCATATTCCAAGACTTAAAAATGTAAGAAAGACAGGCTTATTAAATCTGGGTCAATACCAAAAATGTTCAGGAAGGGTTTTCTGGAGATATTAAAATAGGAGTAATAGGCAGGCATCTAATACCTTCTAATCTTTGCAAGGATTCCTCGACAGGTGATTAATGGTCAGGGAATATTATATTACTATATCACTTACTATACGATTTTGTTGTTTTTATGCAAATCCTGAAGCAGTTCCAGGTTTTTTCTGAATATGTTTACCAGATGACAATCCTAAAATTCCTCCTGAAAACAACTGCACAAGCAAATCCAGCGCTGAATGGTATCTAAAAAGGGCAGCTGTTTTGCTCCAGAGTGTCAGGAGCAATGAGATGGTTGGGGTGTATGTGATGGTGTGCAGAAATAAAAATCAATTCCTTCTGTCAAGGTAAGTGGGAAAGGACAAATTGATAGAACTTGGAAGATTAGACCTTTTTCTTAGAAGATGCTTTTCAACAAAAATGAGTCAGATCTTTTCCCTAATAGCTACAAGAATGCAGTGGATGGTAATGTAAATTAAAAAAAGAACCAGGAGGAAGGAAGGCAGCTGTGTAAGCAGAGAACATGGCAAACATGCAGCAGAACCATCTGTTTCTCACATCCAGAAATGAAAGTTAGCAGAGCTGGAAAGACCTTACAGAATTAGTATTGAAAGACCACAGTATTTATATTAGGCCATCACTCTGTCTTATATTGATTTGAACTCAACTCGTGTTTGATTTTTAAAAGCAAGAAAGTGTACTCTTATGTCACATGAACACAGAGATGTACACCAACAAAGTAATTGATATTTTACCAATATTAGACATAAACATGAATCAAAATAGTCTGGCAATGTTATATTTTACTGAAAAATGACAAGCAGTATGGCTAATACTAATACAGTGCTTAAGCCAAGATAATATACATACGTCCCCAGCTACAGCAGGAGTTAGGCTGAAGGAGATTGCTGAGGTGAATGTCACTGGACTATCTACTAACCAGCTGCAAATGCCATTCCTGTTACACTAGACTGGTGAGACTCTAAAATAAAATAAGTGCTTCCTGTGGAAAGTTCTTGGTACATTCTTTTTTCATAGCTCTCTGACATATGTGAAATATACACTTCTGGCTCATGGCTCGGTGTTTGCTATATGGTTCAGGATGCCAGAAGGATTGAATTCGTCAGGACTTGCTGCATTTTACCTTTGTGCAATGTCTGGGATGGCTGACCAATATTCTGGAATCTTTGAAGGCTACACTGGGGCTTGTAACTGCATTAGAAAGTAAGACCATACCAGGAATCCAAACATAAGACAATACAACTGCTAGTACCACTATAATACAGCAATCTGATCAAAACATGCTATGTTCATGAGAGGCCTCATTTTGAAAGTGTTCATTGCATCTTTATAAGGGTTGCATGCATAGCTGTAAAGTTGCTAACATCATCATGTACAGAAAAGCTTTCATAACAGTACATCTGCTAGTCTGATGGAAGCAGTTTAATGCAGACCAGTAGCAAGCAGAGCTTCATTCTCCAACTATGATCAGCCACCTGTCTTTGTCACCATCCTGGGGGAAAACTCAAAATGCCCATGAATTTTTTCATTAGCTTTTTTTGATGGGAGAAAATAAAGCACAAATATCATCTTTGTTCAGACTTATAGTTGTAATACAAGGCATCTGATTTTGGCCTGATTGCAAAGAGGGTAAAAAAAAGAGGAGCAGAAGGTATTTGACTTTTACACGTTCCCTGTTACATAACGACCATACCAGATAAATTATAAATATAAATTTTTGTAAGTAGTTGTTATTCTGGGGTCATATAACTATGTAATGTGAAAAACTTCCCTTGAAATTTGAAAACTCTATGCCACATTCTCCATGTGTCGTTGTTGAGACATTTCTGTGCATTTCTCGTTAAGGGAACAGGCTTCCTAGAAGGTTTTAACTTGTGTTTGGTAAAGTGCAGTGTTACTGAGTGTAATACAGACAATACGTAAAATAGCCAGTTCTTGCAACATGGAGCTTTGGCAACTGCAGGTCTCTTGCTTTCACATTCTGACCTGTCTTGTATTGGTGTTTAGTTAATGGGTCAGCAGCCAGACACTGCAGTGTACCATCATTGGGTATAGAGCCAGATTTGAAAAATGAAATTTGGGGTGGTGTTCAGTGATGAAGTTTCCACCTATATAATATAGTGCTCTGTGAACCTCTATTTCATGCTCTTATTTTAATGCAATTAAAATCTGAGATCACTGTCTAACTGTGTCTATTAAGAAAGAATACTGCTTTCACTGGGATTAAAAAGGGGAGAACTTTTCTGAAAACCAGAATAGGGCTTATATACCTTTTAAGTATCTATAAATTCATGTCAAAGTGTAATAGTTCTAGCTCTGGGTGCTGAGCAGTTTTAACAATTTGACCTTGTGTAGTTCTGGAAATAAATTAATATTTCTACTTCGTCAGTGTTAACTTTCTTGTGAGCTTTTGCAACATCTGGTAACACATTTAATGCTGACACTACTAAAAATGCGTGGGATCAAGTAAAGCTTTTTGAACTCTAAGCACTTTACTTCTCTATATTATATAATCTCTATGGAAATTAACTTTTTTCTCAACCATGAATGTGTATGTCAGTTCTATTCCACTGTAGCACTACACAGTCTTTTGAAAGGATGCTGCCTTAGGGTAGAGAGATCCAGAGCACAGAGTTGCTAAAGATATTAGCCTCAAGCTTTAGCTTACCAGTTCTGCAAAAAAATTAGTTAGACATTGTGTTCTACATCTCTAGTGCTTACTGGCTATAAGCTGGAATTATGTATATTTTCCTGTGTATTCTTCTTCCTGTCACTAAACAAGTCCACAATTTTTTTCCTTAAGGTATATATTGGAAATGACAGAGGTAAGACAGCTCTTTGGGTTAAAATACCTCTCTAAGTTTTTAAATAAATATATCAACTAAATTTATAAAACCATGTATATAACCATTTACTAGAATTACTGATATTTATTACCTTCCAACAATTTTATATAATCTATATAAACATATATTAAATAATTTTTTATATATATATGTCTTATATATGCACCTTAAAACAAAAAAAAAAGCTTTAAACACACGGCAGATTTACTTGCATAACATAAACTCCATATATTAGATACTATATAGATATTAGATATAATAAAAACATATATCTAATATAACATTTATAAACAATCTATAGAAACATCTAATCTAAAAAACATTTCAAAAAAAGCTGTGTCTTATTATTTATCACCATCTGTGGAGTTTATGTTAGGCAAGTAAATCTACCTTATGTTTAAAACTTTTTTTTTGTTTTAAGGTGTTTGTATTTGCATATTTGGTGACAAAGAGCCAGATTCTTTACTAATAGCAGTTAATAATTGCTTTATGAAATTAGTTTTCTTTTGTTACTACTTTTCAATTTAACGAATGTTGTACAGTTTTAGCTGCCTCCTGCTGTGAGATATCAGGCCTTGTGTATAAATTTGTTGATCTGCATATCATCTTAAGAAATAATCTGGCAAATAAGCAACAACAAAAAGACTAAGTAAAAAATAACTATCAAATCTATACAGCTAATATATGCACATAACAGTTCTTTGGTTTTTATTACTGCTCGTGTTCTGACAAGCTGGAAAAATTAACATCTTTAAGTCTGTTGTCTTCTGTATTCTTGGTAACATGGTTTTTGTGCATTTTCTCATATTGTTCCATCATATTAGAAACAGATGATATGTAAAGCTCTATATCTACAAGTTCTCTTGCTCTCTCACAAGACTGCCAGAAGAAAACTAGAGGTGATGTTGTTATACCCATTGACCGGTATGAAATAATGTGATCTCTAAGCAGTATTTTCTTGGTTGCCTGGATTGTGTTTTATAAGGAATTAATTTATTTCAGGTACATAAACAGGTGAAGTGAGGTAAAAGCGTATTGTAAAACATAGTTGCTTTTTGGAAATTAATTTTAAAACTGTGGGTAAGGAAAACAGTCTGTAACAGGATATGTAGTCAAATGGGTTTGTTCATTTTGTGACAGATTCTTGTACATCACATTCCAAGGAATAGTTTATTTATATATTTTTTTAAAGGAAGGGAGACTAAATGAGAAAGATGAAAATAAAGGTGCCAGCGCTTTTTACTCTTGATTGATACTGAATAATATGTACTTACACTTGGTAGATCTATGAAGGATTTAAGATGCCCAGAGCATGGCGTATTAATCTGATCACAAGAAATGAAAAGCTTAAACCAAAAGCACATTCAGATTTATTGAGGCATTTCAAAAACCAGGTTTGTAACTAAGCGGTTTCAGCAACTCCTAATGAAAGCATGTGATTTCCTTTTTTTATGATTTTAGCTATAAGAAAGTTAAGCATGTACGGGAAATAAGAGGGAGCATGAAGAGTTTAAAATTTCATGTTATCATGGTGAATAAGGTGGTGGTGACTGATCTGCAGCAATTTTGTCATAAGCTGGTGGAGCATCAGGTACCTGTGGTAAGGAAAATCGGTGTGAGAGATTGAAAAAACCAATTGAGGTACAAGAATATGACATTAAACATGCAGCAAGCTATTTACCACTGTATTAGATATGGTTCAGTGACTTAAAATAGCTAAGCTCATTCATTATGTCTATTTTTTTGCTAGTATGTTTTCTGGTTTTGCGTCAGATTCATTTTATTGGAACTGTTCATCCAAAGAAAGATTTTTCAGTGTTGTAAAGGCAGGATTTTTTTTTTTTTTTAAGATATGGGTGTTTTTATATTGGTAACTCGGATAAATATTGAAGCTTTTCTGTAAGAGTCTTGATGCAGGCATGTTGTCTTATTTCTAGTGTTAAAAATTTGAGCAGCTTATTTAAAACTGATTATAAATTAGACTTTTCCCTATTCTAAAGCCATTTAAACACACCCATTACTTAACATATACTCATCACTCAGTTTAACTTTTTGACAGTTATAAGTTTGAATGTTCATCTCTCCATAATGATTAGATGAGCTAAAACCTTGAATTTTTATAACATTCCCTGACAATGCTTTTCAGAGTATAGTAATACTAGACACAGTCCATTTGTTGTTTGTCAGAATGGCAGAACAACTACTGGAAAATGTTTGTGTTTTTTTCATTATATTTCAGCATTCGGGTGTTAGATCATTCTAATAGATTGCATAATGACCATACAACTTTAGAATAAATGTAAAAGAAAGAAATGAATTTTTAAAAGAAGAATTCTAAACAGTACATTTTAAAAACCCTTTTCACAGTAAAACTTGTTCAAAATAGTACTTTCTAAGTTGATGTAGAGGCATTGAAGACTCTATCTAGAGAGCACACCCCAAGGAAGAAATCATTAATTGCCCATTTACCAATATTGTCTCACCGTGTCTTACTATGTTTAAGTAAATGAGACCTTGAGTTACAACTTACCACAGAATTAAAGTTTCTGTAGTCCTGCAGAGTCATTTTGCAGTCCAGTGTTGCTCCCTCACCTATCACATTTCGTGCTGTGCTCACACTAGAGCTTTTGCTCTGTGAGCATAACGAAACATGGGGAACATGAAAGGAAGAAGAGACTGTGAAGTTGGGGCAAATTATGCGTCATTTAATATTTGATAGCACATTTACAATATGTATTAGAATCTGGAATTAGGACCAGACACAATGCAAGTAACCAAGTGAGACAATTTACCTATCACCTTTGGCTGTCTCTGCTGAGACATAGTCTTTCTTCTGTGTTATCCAATTACATTGCCAGAAAAATGAGCATCACGTTTTTTAGGTCCAAGACTACTGCAGGAACTGACATCTTCCTATGTATCCGAATGCCTTCTCCTTTTTATCCTACTCATTTCTTTCTTTAATCTCCAAACTTTTTCTTTTCTGTTTTCCCAACATTTCTTTTGTACACATTCTGTACTAGTTCTCCCCAGCCAGAAAAATTCTAAGAAAGATGTAATTTTCAAAACCAGAAAGTGGCAGTCAGCAATAAGAAGGAATTAAAAAGGAAATTGTGGGTTTTACCATGATGTACAAAACAGGCATTTGGTTTGATTTTTGAAGAGTTTTTTTGAGTATTACCTTCATTTTTGCAACATCTCACTATGAAAGTTCAGGTTTTATGTATTTTGCCAGATAGTATTGGATAGATAACTGGAAAGGGAATGGGACAGAGTTATGGAAAACAGGAAGGAAATGGATTTGCTGACTTAAATGAGAGGTATGCTGGTTTTTTTAACTCCCAAATAGTCATATCTTTTTCAAAATATTAGGATAACTAAAAGATACTAAAAAGATACTAAAACAAAAATTTGGATAAAGCCTGGTGCGAGTACCAGTTGGGGTAGAGTTCATTTTCTTCTTAAAAGCTGATACAGTGCTGTGTGTTTTGGATTCATTATGAGAATAATGCTGATAGCATAACGATGATTTGGTTGTTGCTCAGTAGCTCTTACTGTAAATCAAGGAGTTTTCACTGTCTCATGCACTGACATCAGGTGCACATTAGGTACATGAGAAACTGGGAGGGAGCATGGCTGGGACACCTGACCTGTACTGGCTAAAGGAATGTTCCACACCACAGAACACCATGCCCAGGATATAAATGAGGGAGTTGACTGGGAGGGGCTGAGTGCTGCCAAGGAACGAGATGGGCGTCAGTCAGGGAGTGGTGAGAAGCTGTGTTGTGCAACATTTGTTCCTCTTGGGTTTTATCGGTCTCTCTCTCTCTCTTTCGTTATTATCATTAGTAGCAGTAGTAGATTAGTAGATGACGATTATATTTTGTTTCAATTATTGAACTGTTCCTTCTTAACCCATGTTTACCTTTTCTTTCCAATTCTCCTCACCAGGGTGGCAAGGGGAAGTAAGTAAGCGTGGAGCTTAGCTGCTGGCTAGAGTTAAATCACAAGTTTTCACTTTAAAGGATTAAAAAAGACCTCCCTTCCACAGGAGAGAGAGCAGAACTTCAAAAATAAAGCTTTCAGACTTCTAACAACAGCTGTTATGAGGATTGTACCTTTTTTTTAATATTTTCTTAGAAGACATGAAGTAAAATATTTTAAAAGTAATGTTTAGAAAACAAACCTCAAATCTGCCCCGCTCTTTTTTGTAAATCTTAAAACTGCAAGTCAAGTTTTATAGAGATGAATGATGCGTCATCTTTATGTGAACATATTTACTTAAGTTCCTTGTAACATTTATTCTTATTTTCTGCTTCCTAGATTTACTGTAAGCGCATCTGTCCTTATTTAGGGGTAAATCTTATGAGTAGTGAATATGTTACTTTTATTTAAATGAAAGGACACTGAACATGTCTTGGTTTTGTGTAAATATTAAATATAATGCTTCCTACAGATAATCTTTTCCCCTGATGTGTTGTGTAAAGCTGGGCAGCTGGCTTCATGTCCCTTTGCTTCTGCTTCCTCTTATCCCTTTGTCTGGCTTGCAAGTTCTTGAGGGCAAGTTGTGTTTCATATTGTGTGGGTTTGCCTGTGACATATGTCAGTGTATGTATATTGCCTGAGCTGATGATGTCCTGTTACAGATTCGATGTTCTCTGCATTAATGTCCTGCAAATAGAGGTAATACGTGTCAAAATAACAGCATGCTAGAAAGTGAGCAGCCATGCTTACCTGCAGACTTTTATAGCCACTCCGTCTTTTGTAATACCAGCAGCCAAAGGCAAGCAAAGTTGCCAGCACCAAAATGAAAAGTCCAATGCCCAGAGCTCTGTTGGGAGAGCAAAACAAAATAATAACACCACAACTAGATGTATTCTCCTGGGAGCATGAAAGATTAGAGCACAAGTTTGTGTCAGTGCCCTTTCATCAGAGGAAGGCATGGCGTAGAATTTACCTCAGAAAATGGAAAAAGTATCAGTAACTTCAGCAAGTCTCTGTAGATTTAGCAGTTAGCTAAATTCTCTGCCAAGTTCTTAATAATTTTAAAAGTAAGAAATACATTTCTTTGAAGATAATACTCTACTGCTGATTCTGAAAAGATACCTGCCTGAGAGAATGTGAAATAAATTAAATGCCACACCTGTAGAGATGCAGGTCATGTTTATTTGCTAAATTTATGTAGCCAGCAAGTATGGGGAAATATATCCTTATTGCATCGTATTGCAACAACTGTTGGTGATGGAAGGATTTTTTGGATACATAAAACACTATAAAACCTTATTTGTTAAGAGCTCTGCAAGTATTTAGTTCTTGTTTCGTGACATGCTAGGCACAGTATTGGTGTCACTGGGTCATTTTAGGGAAAATACACTTAGCAGACTGTGCTGTGACATCCTTCCTACTGCTCAGTGGGGACTTCGGAGAAGCAGCATGATTCCGCTGTCTGTCAGAAAGCAAGCTGACAAAGTAATTGCAAGTTTCCTAGTCACAAACCCCCTTCCTTCTGTGTTAATAATCTCCCTGCTAAGACATATGGAATTCATTCCCTTTTTTTTTTTTCTTTCCCTGTTCAGGAACAGAAGAGTATGCAAAATGGTTAAAGGGAAAAAAGCATGGGGAAAAATATTACTGTGTGAATCAGGATAAACCCACGCTAACATCCTTCTATATATCTACTATCCAGTTGCCCTGCAGTAATTACCACCATGCTTTTGCATGAGTAGGGACTGAGTATGGGGTATGTGATTTACCAGAGACTTTTTATATCTATTTGCTATCATTTTCACTGACTCCAAGTCTGATGAAGGAGTGTTTCCTTGCGACCTAAGAAGCCTGAAAGAAGATGCAAACAGATTTGTGCGACAGAACAGGCTGCCTTTTTGTCTGAATTGCCTGTGTGCTGTCTGAAACACGAGCCCTTTGGAGACAAAGGGATTTTCTTTTTCACAAGTACCTGGATCTTACAAGTTGCTCCTGCCCCTTGAAGACTTTGTGTGGGCTGGAGACCCGTTAAACCCAGGAACACGGCTAACAAACAGCATTCACCTGCTTTCTGGTGCAGCCGTGTTACAGCTGATCTTCAAAGTTATGAGATGGATCCACTGGTTTTGTTACTGTCCCCAGCACAATTAAAACTTGGAGAGACCCTCCAAGCAGCTGCTGCTCTCTCTACATTTTGAGACTGCTTTCTGCTTTTCACATGTTATGTGGTTTTAGCCATCCATTAGCCTGTATGCCCCTAGTATTTAATTTCTGGAGCTGGTGCTTTTGTCTACATATTTGCCATCCAAGTCCTTCCCTATCTACTCAGAGGCTAGTATGGAAAGTGTGCGTACAATTTCTTGCAATTCCAGTTAAATTTGCAGCTGTGCTTTTAGGAATCTGGGCTTATATCTAGAACACTACTAGTACCAAAAGGAGAGAGTCACTTTTGCCTCACATATCTAGAAAAACTGCTTACAATTACAGCCACTGGAATTCATAGCAGTTAGAGGTGAGCGTGTTTAGTTTCAAGTGCCGAGACATGACTAACCAGCTTTTTTTTTGAAGAACTAAGCTGCTTTGGATGGATGATGAGAGAGCCTTCCCCTTGGTTTATTCTCTCTGCCAGGGCATGGAGGAACAAAAATCTTGCAGTATGTGTGTGTGGGACAAGTCACTAAGTTTGGGGGCCCATAAACTAGTACCAGAAGCACATTCTGCTTACAGATATCCCAAGCACACTGGAGATATTTGTCTAATGTATTAAAACATCACCAGTTGGATGGTGTTTCTAATAATCCAAGACAAAAATATATTATTGTAATCTGAAGCTAACAGTATTAGCTTGACGTAGTTCTGCTGAAGGGGACTCTTACCCAGAAACAGTTTAGAGTCACATTCATACGGCATTGATGTCTTCATCTGCCTTTTTTTTTACCATTTCTCTGGGAGTTTGCTATGTTCTTTAGGGTGAGACAATGTCCCTTTCAGGTTTCTAAGAGAGGTTTGTGGATCTAGAGATAAATTGAGTGTACAGATCACCTTGCAATAGCCTCAAAAGAAAATTCTAAATAAGCCTCAATAAACCTGGTAATTATAAAGACCAATGACTTGTGATCATATGATTGAACTCTAAGTTCTTGAATTCTGCAATTCTGATTTTTCTTAATCATTGAGGGCTCTTAATGATTGTGCAGTGACAAACATTAGAGACAACTACACGATAGTTAAAATGCACTCCATCTACATACAGTGGTGAGGTTTTTTGATACTATTTCCTGGTTTTCTTTCAATGCAATTTTTTCACCAGCTTACAGGCTAAGGTAGGTTTTGATTTATGCTTACTCTTCTGCTGCAAAATAGGTGTGTCCTCTCCCTCTGAAATAGTTGCCATATGGATGGTCATTTCTTCTGCCCATTTTGTGAGCTTGGTCCTGCTCAGACCTACAGGGTAGAAACACAGTGCCTCAGCGTGATAAATAATTTGTAATCTTTAAAGTGTAATATTATCAACTTTGTGTTTTAATGCGAGCATTTTAGGGAGGCAGGATAGTCTGATATCTTCAGAATCAAGTAGATCCACACCTATATGCAGCTGTCCCAATTTAAGACAAAACTCAAGTACAGACTGTAGTCTACATTTTAGTATCTCCAGTGACATAAAGGTATTTGCACCTGACTGCAGCAGAGAAGAATTTTATGTCATCTTTTTAGGTACAAAGTGATGGCAGAATTCTGAAGTACAATCTTGAATACAGAAAGAAAGGCAATTTACCTGGGCAAGTAAAACTATTGAGAAGAAAAACTAATATTGTCCTTACAAGTAGCTGTTTATTTCTGTTATTCCCTGTAAACAGTCAGGGGACAGGTTTTCAATCACTGTAAAGTCTCAGAGATCTGTTGATTTTCAGATGGGAATAGTAATTTACGTCTCCCACAATCTAAACTCAGACGCGCAGAGAATTTGTGTTATAACCTTAACTCCCATTCTTAAGGTGATAATCATCAAGCTTCAAGCTGTCTGAACAGTTAAAAATCTAATTGATCAAATACAGTGAAGAAGAAATCCACAAGTAATCATGTTTCTGTCATTTAAAGCGCACAACAATAGATCCTACTTGATAGTATCCAGCCAATCTACGTACCTTACACAGGTAAAGTATAAAACATGATGACTTTGCTGAAGACAGTTCTAGCCAGGGAAGGAAAACATCTGCAAGTTCACTTAAACACAGTCAAGCCTCTTCCAGAGCATAATTTTGAAGCAAAGCAGAAAATTTTGTGTAGAATAAAAATATACAAATATTTGTGTAGAATAAAAAAGCATACATCTTACCTCCTTCAGACCTGTATTCTGTTAACTGAAAGGCATATGCAGCTTTCTTTTCCTTGACTTGGTCTGGTTTTTTCTCCTTTGATCTGTTTTCTTATGACTATCACGAGTTTAAATTCCTTTCGGTACAGCTTCTGAATGTGTTAATTAGCATGAAAGGGGCAAGGATACAACTTTTCATTTTCTTCTATGTCCTTCTCTCTTAATTTTTAAGAGCAGCAGTAGAATCTGTTATTGATTTGTTACATACCTGCCCTTTTTACAAGCTCCTAGAGTGGACTATTTCTAAATTTTAACGTGTTTTGATTTAGGACTGATTATTCTGTGACAGAGGACTGGTATTTTTGCATGTCTTTACTATAGCTTTGTGTATGCACTCTTTTTGCATCATTTTAACACTGTGCAAACTAGTATATTTGGACAAAAACTTATAGGTGGATGATGTTATACTGTAACAGAAGTGTCTTACATTTGGACAAATACAGTTTAATTCTGTAGTAATAAGCAAATACTGCAACAAAAAGAGAGTCTATCCCATGGGCTGCAGAACTAACGAAGCCTAGGTTAGGACTTGTAATTCATACAAGTCCATACAAGTTCTTTGTGTGTTAGCACAGGCAATTCATACAAGTCCATACAAGTCCTTTGTTATGGACTTGTATGAATTGCCTGTGCTAACACTGTGGTAATTCCATTTACAAGACCAGTCAAGAAATGGCAGTCTGTGACTAATTCAGAGGTCTGGGTACTGTGATGGACAAGCAGTCTTAAATATTGCTGAAAGAGAGAGAAGATACAAGAACCATGTTCTGCTTGTCATTCGTCTTAATGATTCATTAATCTGAGCCTCTCTGTCCTTCCACAGATTTTTTAAGTTTGAAGGACTGAAAACTTTTAATAAGTTTTCACTTGTCTTTGAAGTTGTGTACGTGGCTCTAAATGTGGTGAAAACAGCTGACAGACTGAAAAGCAAATAGGAGGGAACAGACAGTGTGAGAAACCAACATCCGTTTCATTAGGAAATCAGATGAAAAGTCTTAACATTGATATTATTCTTAGCTAGTGCAGGTGTGGGAGGTCAGATCATTTTTCTGCTTATGTGTTTTGCTTAATCATGGTAAAAATGTGATCTGTCTTAGATATTTTTCCATCGTGGTGCTCAGTGACAAGACCAGAGGCAATGAGCACAGACTGAAACACAGGAGCTGCTCTGAACATCAGGAAACTTTTTTTTCTATGGGAGTGACTGAGCACTGGGACAGATTGCCTGGAGAGCTTGTTGGGTCTCCCACACTGGCGATATGCAAAAGCTGTCTGGACACAGTCATGAGCAACCAGCTCCAGGTGGCCCTGCTGGAGCAGAGGGTTAGACCACATGAACTCCAAAGGTGCCTTCCAACCTCAACCGTGCTGTGATTAACACCAGAAAGATCTAGCTGGTTTTGCTGGACCAAACAACATGGGTTTTGTGGAGGGGAAAATGAAGGGAACAAGAAGAATGAACAGTGAGGAACATAAACTCTCTAATTTGTACAAATCATTCAATGCTTTATATTATACCAGATGAACTCAACTGGAGTTTCAAAGGGAGAAGAGATGCAGGGAAGTTTCTAAGATACCCATGTGTGTAAAACTGTAAGTGGACGCTGTCACAGTCTGTCAAGTTCCTAAGCAACATATCAGCCCTTATGCACCCTGAAAATGTCATAGAGCTAATCATGTGTTTTCCTGAAGAAAAGCTTCATTACTGGGAGAGGATGATAACTAAAGGGCATTGTTTGGTCTTGTGAGAATCAAGACATAGACTAAATGCATGTGATTACCAATCCTAGTCTCTGCCCCATCCTCGCCTCAAGCAATGTGTAGGGCAAAATGTCAACTGCTTGAATATTTTGTGTTCTGAATGAATCTCTTGCTAATAGTATAACAAGAAAGGGAAAAAAATAATGACTTTGTCATGATTTGTGGCACCATCTGGAATGTAAATGCAGAATGCTGCTATTGAGGAATTGGATGGATGAGAAGGTGAAACACCACATCCTGGTTCTGATCTCAGTTTTTTTACAAAATCTTAGTTCTCTGAAATAGTGCTGCTAAATCCATCACTGTAAAGTCACTGGAATTGGCAAATGGATTTCACAGGTGTTAACCTTTTCAAAGATAGCATTTCAGGAGAAGAGGGTGGAAGAGGATGGAGAAACCTCCAAGTAACCCAAGTTACTTTGGGTTTTTTGTGATAAGCCAGAACTTGTGGCAAACCTAGGATGCTGATGAATCTTGATCATAAGAATGAAATGAATGCTTCTAGTGTAACTGAAAATAACAGGCTTGACCTTTGAAGAAGAATAGCTGTTGGTTTTATGCTGTTGACATTGTGATTCCATCTTTCTAGGAGAAGATCTTGGGATTTTTATTAATTTATTTCCCTTAATTGATAATTTATTTTCTCTGGCATTTGAGGCTTCCTACAGCAGACAAAACAAAGAAATGTGAGTACCTTGGCACTTGATTTAGTAAAGGCTTTAGTTGTGAGTTTTATGGGAATTTCAGTGGAAACTCACAAGTATTTCACTGCTAAATCTACATTAACAGTAACACAATACAGTAAGCGAAAATAAGGACATTATACTCCTTTCAGTTTGTCCTCAGAATCCTCATCTCTCCATGGTTTGGGGATTTACTTGGAAGTATGTATTATCTGGCTTCAAGGCTGAACAGTTCTACTACAGGCCTGAGACTGGATGTGGCACTTAGTGCCATGGTCTAGTAACCACGGTGGTGTTGGATCAAGGGTTGGACTTGATGATCTCAGAGGTCCTTTCCAACCCAGCTGATTCTATGATTCTATGATTTGGAGCTTTTTGCAAAGCTATTCCTCAAACAGCTGCTACCTTGACTGCAGGCACCTCCAGGAAGCAACATGTTGTCCTGTAGGCTGCCTTGCACAAACACCTTTAGTATGTTCATCCTGAAAGCCTAGTTCACGACAGAAAGTTCCTCCTCAAGTAGTTTGCAAGTGAAGCTCTGGTCCCTGCTGTCAGGCCCATCTCCCTCTGCTCTATCTCTGAAACTTACAATAAAGAAGGAATGGTAGTCTTAATCCTGTAGTAGCTGTGCCAAGAGGATGGCATGATTGCAATGGTGCCTGTGTGGCTGCACTGTGTTTTTCCAAAGAAAAAAGGTTGGATAGCTTTCTAGCTTTCTGTTTTTCTTTGCTCCTACTTTGTGGTTGACTGCAGGTTCTGAGCCCAGGGGATTGTTCCGATTTGTGGGACTTTCTGAGATGCAGGGTGACCAACTATGAGTGAAAAACTGTGGGTGAAAAACTTTTGGATGCAGTTGGGCACTATCAAGGTGAGATTGATTTATGACTTCCCTTTCCTGTGATTTCAGGACACCATCCCTGGATTTAAGAGAATGGCAGTGCTTTCTAAAGCCTCACAGTCCTGTTCCCACCAGTAGGTTGATAACTGGTTTGGGGTAAGAAACTCCTTGCAGATGAGCTGCTGATTTAGGCCTCTGGGGCCATCTCTGAAACATTTTGTTTGAAGAAAATTAATATAGTCAACACAGGCTGTATCCTTAGGACTTGGATCAAAACAGTCCTTTGCAGCACATTGCCCAGGGAGGTGGTGAAGTCAGCATCCCTGAAGGTGTTTCAAAGACATCTGGCACTGGGTGATGGTTCAGTGGTTCAGGGGGTTCAGTGTTACTGCTGGGTGGATGGTTGGATTGGATGATCTTAAAGGTCTCTTCCAACCTTGATGATTCTGTGATTCTGAGTAATCTCTGCAGTAATAGTCCAGTGAAACTTAACTTGGAATATTGCCACTACAGCTGAAGTAAAAGCAGTCCTAAAATGAATACAAGCACTCAATACTTCAACTCTGGGCATGAGGAGAGTAGACTTCAGGCTACTCAGGAAGCTAGTAAGTAAAGTGCCCATGGAAAATTATTTTATACGTTCTGGGGTCCATCGTGCTGGTCACACTTTAAAGATCACCTCCTGAGGGCACAGGAGCAGGCAATTCCAAAGTGTTGCAAGTCAAGCAGATGAGGCAGAAGGCCAGCTTGGCTGAGCAGGGATCTGCTTTTGG